CGGAATTAAGAGAAAGCCTACCAATTTCAGTCGCCAGCCTGCTACTCATTCTTTTGCTCATTTTCCTATAGACAGTTAAATTTGTTTTTCTCTGCTGAACTCAGCTAAACTTTGTATAATAAAAGCCTTTTGCTAGCCAGCGCGCCACAAACGACTACCAAGCACAAACAAGTGTCACATCTTTACTGTTATATCTCGGGCTTGATGCGCATGCATTCTGTGAGGCTGTTCATCCTAAATAATTTGTAGCCGAGGCGCACAATCGTGATGACTCCTGACGCAGACCGTTTTGTGTGCATACTTGTGAAGGCAACAGCAAAGCGAGAAATTCTAAAACACAAACAGTGTTAAGCAGCCGGTGAAAATGATATATGCGATGCAAAGCCAAAACAAAATCGTCTTTGCAGGAGCTGAAATTTCATCATCTCGAATACTCTATGTAAGTCTGCATTGCGATTTGTCTCAGGGTGCGTTAGACTTGCACGATGGCGTTATTTACCGGCTGCAAACTTGTAACTGTTACATGTTGCGAACGCACAGCAGCAAGACCCACTTTCACATTAAAAAAGAAAAAAAAAAAAAAACAGTATAAGTAAATGATGACGCACAGCCGAAGAAAGCAGTCCTTATTTGAGTGAGAGCATATGCTGAGCGGGTGAGAGTATATGCGTTTACATATAACAGGTAGCCATATTTTGCTTAATCTTTTACCATGTCGTTCTTTTAAACGAAAGGCCTGGCGCAGATTTGCCGGACCCCGCAATTTCTTCGAGTCATCGCTTTGTAGCAGTCTTTTCCGCTGGGTCTGCATATAATTCCTTCAGAAGCTGCCAGTTAGATATTTTCTAATTCAGATGTCAGTACGATAAGTTATTGTGGTCTGAGACTGGTACTATTCAACATACATACATACATGCGTACACACATGCGCATACCATGGACATTTCGAACGTTTAAAGCTTTGCCAAGTGCTTTTGTCGGAAGAGCCACATGGCTGGTGAACGTTTCAGCGGCATCG